TCCCCACAACCCACCACTCCACCCACGCCCTCCCCTAGCAGGGCCACAGACAGGGGCAGGGCTCACCCTCCCCACAACCCACCACTCCACCCACACCCTCCCTAGGAGCCCCAGATCCGCCTGGACGCAGCAGGGAGGCCACAGACAGATGTAGGGCCCTGTCCTCCCATACGCCTGCTATGAAAGTCAGATGAAGTACACAGGGTCCATGTCCTGAGGTTACTCGTGAAGGAAAGCAAGCCCCAAAGAAGACTGTCAGGCTCAGTGCCTGTAGCACACTGGTTACGGAGCCAGCCACATACAGGCTGGTGGGGTCGAACCCGGCCCCGGGCGAGCTAAACAACAATGACAACAGCAACAAGAAATAGCCAGGTGTTGTGGTGGGTGCCTGTAGTCCCAGCTACTTGGGAGGCTGAGGCAAGAGATTCGCTTAAGCCCGAGAGTTTGCTGTGAGCTGTAACGCCACAGCACTCTACCAAGGGCGACATAGTGAGACTCTGTCTAAAAAAAAAAAAAAAAAAAAACAGAGAAGACTGTCACACAGCTCAGGGGGATTGGGGCCAAGGCCAGAGCCCAGGTCCTCTCCAGGGAAGGGGGAAGACTACAGGGTGAGCCCCCCACCCAGCCCTTGCAGGCCATCGCCCATCAGCCTAAAGATGCTCTCTGCATACCTGAGGTGCACACCCTCATGGCCGTTTTCTGAGGACTTGTTGAGGAGACCAGGCTGGGGGAGCCTAGGTGTCACCTAAGGACATTGGCAGGTCATTGCCGCCACAGAGACTCATCCTTTCCAGCCAGCACAGAGGACAGAGTGTCCAGGGAGATAGGCAGGGCCCTCTAGTCCAGTGCCCACAGCAGGCTGACTGGGGTGTCCAGGCAGGGCTCAAGCCAGCTGCATGTGCCCTCCCTGCTAGGTGTTCACGGACCCCAGCAACCTACAGCGGCACATCCGTTCCCAGCACGTGGGAGCCCGGGCCCACGCCTGCCCGGACTGCGGGAAGACCTTCGCCACATCCTCTGGCCTCAAGCAGCACAAGCATATCCACAGCACGGTCAAGCCCTTTATATGTGAGTCGTCCCCCCCCAGCCCTGCGGCTCTTCCTGGCACCCTTGAGCACTGGGACCTGTCCCTCTGCCCTTGCTGCCCACATGCCACCCTCCACTGCTCTGTCCCTGCTCTTCCCTCCATCTGGGGCCCCACTGAGGAGCCGGAGAAGCAAGAGGCCTGACAAAGGCCCTTCCACCTTCTTCACTGCGGGCCCTGGGAAGAGCCCTGGCTGGTCTTGTCCAGTCCAGGCTGGTCACTGGATGCCCCCAGAGTGGAGCTGCTCACACACACACATGTTTATGCATGCACATATGTGCACATGTGTGTACATTCACAGCTGCACACACAGGGCACACATACACTGCACAGGGACACGCGTACGCACACGTGTGCACGGCACACGCACACCCAGCCCCCTCTGCAGCAGTGCAGCGTGTCCCTGTAATTTCATATGCGTTTGTCTGCCTCCCGCTGACGTTCCAGGCGAGGTCTGCCACAAGTCCTACACGCAGTTCTCCAACTTGTGCCGGCACAAGCGGATGCACGCCGACTGCCGCACGCAGATCAAGTGCAAGGACTGCGGGCAGATGTTCAGCACCACCTCCTCGCTCAACAAGCACCGGCGTTTCTGTGAGGGCAAGAGCCAATACGCACCAGGCAGCATCTTCACACCGGGCCTGCCTTTGACCCCTGGCTCCGTGCTGGACAAGGCCAAGCCCTCCCCTAGCCTCAACCACTCTGGCCTGGGCTTCGGAGACTACTTTCCCTCCCGGCCACACCCGGGCAGCCTGCCCTTCTCCACGGCACCGCCAGCCTTCCCCGCACTCACACCCGGCTTCCCAGGCATCTTCCCTCCATCCTTGTACCCCCGGCCACCTCTGCTACCTCCCACACCGCTGCTCAAGAGCCCCCTGAACCACACCCAGGACGCCAAGCTCCCCAGTCCCCTGGGTAACCCAGCGCTGCCCCTCGTCTCTGCGGTCAGCAACAGCAGCCAGGGTGCCACAGCAGCCACCGGGCCAGGAGAGGAGTTCGACAGCCGCCTAGAGGACCCATGTCCGGGGAAGCTCAAGACACGGGGCAGCGACGTGTCGGACGGCAGCGACTTCGAGGACGTCAACACCACGACAGGGACCGACCTGGACACAACCACAGGGACAGGCTCGGACCTGGACAGTGACGTGGACAGCAACCCTGACAAGGCCAAGGGCGAGAGCAAACCAGCTGAGGGCAAGCCCGAGTTTGGGGGTGGCTCGGCGCCCCCGGGCCCCCCGAACAGCGTGGCTGAGGTGCCCGTCTTCTACTCCCAGCACTCCTTCTTCCTGCCGCCGGACGAGCAGCTGCTGACTTCGTCGGGTGCCGCCGGAGACTCCATCAAGGCCATTGCGTCCATCGCCGAGAAGTACTTTGGGCCAGGCTTCATGGGCATGCAGGAGAAGAAGCTGGGCCCGCTGCCCTACCACTCCGTGTTCCCCTTCCAGCTGCTGCCCAACTTCCCCCACGCCCTCTACCCCTTTACGGACCGAGCCCTCGCCCACAACCTGCTGGTCAAGGCTGAGCCACAGTCGCCCCGTGACGCCCTCAAGGTGGGCGGCCCCAGCGCCGAGTGCCCCTTCGATCTCACCACCAAACCAAAGGAGGCGAAGCCCATCCTACCTGCGCCCAAGGGTCCCCCGGCCCCTATTCCTGGCGAGGAGCAGCCGCTGGACCTGAGCATTGGCAGCCGGGTGCGTGCCAGCCAGAACGGGGGCGGGCGGGAGCCCCGGAAGAACCACATCTATGGGGAGCGGAAGCTGGGGCCTGGCGAGGGGCTGCCCAAGGTGTGCCCGGCACACGTGCCCCAGCAGCCCTCGCTGCACTACGCCAAGCCCTCACCCTTCTTCATGGACCCCATCTACAGGTATTAACACGCCCCACCCTCACCCACTGTCCCCAGGGGCCATGGCCACCACAGGAGCTGGGCAGGCTCAGCACCCAGGTGTCTGTCTCAAGGGCCCTTGAGGCTGTCCCTCCATCTTTGCAGGCTTCAGAGAGGCACCTTTGTTCTTATTGGGGGGTCCCCTGGGAGGGACATCTGGCTTGGCTGTGCCTGTAGTGGGCACCTCACAAATGTGACCAGGACAGGTTCTCCCAGGCATGTGTGGCTCCTTTGAACAGATGGGAAAGTGGATGTCCAGCTGCCTGGACCTCTGTCCTCTCTGAGCCCAGACGACCCCCACCCACCAAGCCCCCAGCATTAGGGGGACGCCAGGCAGCTGGCCCTAAACAGAGGCCTATGCTCGTGGGTGGGCTTGGCCTTGGCATCTGACGTGAGCCCACAAGATAAGGCGCAGGTGCACACACTTGAGCAGGGCCAGCCACGGGGGGGACATGGGGACGCACCACACCCTGGGCCACAGGTCCTCAGGAAATGAAGATGGGAGGTATCAGGGTGCTGCGGGATGAGCCCAGCATCTGAGAGGGGTGATCAGACACCCACAGAAGGAACCTTCTTGTCAGGCCCCTGGAATTGGAGCCAGCACCCAAGAAGGTCTATTGAACCTTCTCCCGAATCTGCCTCTTCTCTGCTCCGCCCTCCTCCTTGCCCTCCTCCTGGCCTGGTCTGGGGCCTTTGTCTAGAAGCTGTGGGGAGTCCATGGTCAGGCTGGGAAGGGTCCTGTACCCCAGTTTCTACAAGAGCTGAGCTGGCAGATGTCTCCCCAGGTCTCCTTGCTGGAGAGGCTACCCAGACCTGGACCCACCTCTGAGACTGGCTCAGAGGAGGCTCCCACTGAGGACTCACCAGCAAGGTGCCAGAGGATCCCCCACACCTGCCACAGTGACACCACCACAGCATCTTGGCATAAAGTGTATCCCCTAGGGGTCAGCTGGGGTCTGCTGACCCAGTCACTCAGGGCACCAGGCTGGTGGGATCACCACAAGACACAGGGTCAGGAAAAGGTAGAAGAGATCAAGCCCACATGGCTGAGTCTGGGCCCACATGGCTGAGTCTGACCTTGCTTTGCCAGGAGAAGAAGTGTCCAACTCCCCCTCCCCTCAGGAGGCTCTGAGACACCCACTGCCTGAGCTGGACTATCACCCCTAAGAGCTCTCATCACACTGAGCAAAGCACTTCTCCCTGCACTAGATCCCCTGGGCCCTAGACCATCCCCTCGAAAGGCCAAATTCCACAGTCTAACTTTGAACAGGGCCTCCGTCAGGCCCTGCAGAGCCGTAGATGCTCCCGTGGCCCCCCTGAGCCTCTCCAGAGCCCTGTGTTTTGCTGTTGGTTCTGACCCTTTGGGAAGGTCCTCTGCCTGGGACTGTGCAGCCCCGGCCTCCTGCCACGTGCTGTCTCTGGGGCCTTCCCCTCTTGGACCAGGGCCAGGGTCTTATGGGGTTGTCTGCAACCCTCGGTCAGTGGTAGGGGGCTCCTGCCCCGGTTTGGCCTCCAACATGTGCACCTCAGGGTTGTCCTTTCTTCCTGTGGCGCATCCCCTCCTGTGGTCATCTCACCCACTGCATTTCTGTCCTAGTGCCCTAGAGGGCAGAGAAGTGAAGATCACAGAGTTATAGGTAGAAGTGAGGCCGGATGGGAACCCAGCAAGGCCCCAGAGATAAAGTGAAACCTGCTGTCTGGGGCATAGGAGAGGCAGCATGTCTCAGGAAGGTGGCAGGGCTAGCAAAGTGCCCTGACACCAGAGACAACGTCACAGACCTGAGCCCCTGGCCGGGACAGTGGAGAGAAGCCCTCAGGTTAAAGCAGGGACATGTGGACACCCCCCTACAGCCTGTTTTCCATGTGAGATTTGTAATTAAGTCAACAGTTGTCGTTGACATTTGGGGAAGATTCTGGACAGATAATCTTCAGCAGCCATCAGGGTTTATTTAGGTGGAACCCTGCCTGTGGATGTGGGGAGGCCCTGATCACTTTCCCAGGACAGTACCTACTGGTCACTCATGTTTATCAGCACAGATTGATGGAGCCCTGTGCAGGAGTGAGAGGGGCAGGGAGGTCGTAATGTATGCATCAGGCCTCCCACATGACCACATTCTGTGCAGGCAAGTCCAGGGACCCCCCCCCCAGAAGGTAACCCCTCCCACCCATTCCTAGCCAGCTGGCTGATGGCAGGTGGCTGGTGCACAAGGGACCATCAGAGAAGATCCAGGTTTCAGCACTCACAACACACAAAGGCATTAGCAGCTGGGGGGGTCCAAGGGGACTGGGTGGACACTGAAGGTGGGGTGGATTACAAGAGTGTTCAGGGGTCAGGAGTGGCCAGGCAGGTCTGTGTTGTGAGTCAAGGGGTCAGGCCCCCAACGTCCCCAAGGCTGACAGAGGAGTCAGTGACAGAATTGGCAGGGCAGCCCTGGCCAGGCCCCGTATGTAGCCTCATGACCGACCGGGGCACAGCAGGTTCCTGGTGGGGTGGGCGGCTCGGCAGGGTACGTAACCCTCTGTGTTGCTGTCCAGCAGGGTAGAAAAGCGGAAGGTGACGGACCCCGTGGGAGTCCTGAAGGAGAAGTACCTGCGGCCGTCCCCACTGCTGTTCCACCCCCAGGTAAAACGGCAGTGGCTGGATGGGCTCCCCTGGACCTCCACACTGGCCGAGGGTACCGGGGGGGGGGGCAGCCACCACACCAAGGCAGACCTTGTCCACCAAGGCCTCATCCCTCAAGGATGGGGGAGGCTTCTGTCCCTGCGGCCCCACGGTCACTGTAGGCTGGATGCAGGGCAGCCCTGAGCGTCTCCCTGGTGACCATAGGGAGGCTCATCTGTGGCCTCAGACTGACAAGTGGCCCCTGACCCAGGGCTCGGGGCTCCAATGGAGTGGTGGGCAGAGCTTGGACAGAGACCAAGAATTCTGAATGTGAGGGCAGCAAGTGGGCTGGCATTTCTGGGGGGGGCATAAGACCTGCCTGTGTTTAAACGAAAAGACCAAAGACAGGAGGGGCCTGAGAGTTTGGGGGACACGGAGCAGGCCCCAAGGCTGGTAATGGGCAGGAGGGGGCCCAGAGGGTGACCACACTGTCCACAGGGAGCAGAGCAGGGTTCAGGGAAAGAGACAGGCCTGGACACCCCCAAAGTCTGCACAGGAAGGCTCAGCCCCAGCAAGTCTAAGGGTGCTCCTGCCAGCTCCTTGGGGAAGGGCAGTAAGACTACTGTCTGCACCCCACCTGGAGAGTCCCCTGCACTTGGGACCAGCCCTCACCAACTGGAGAGGGGTCATTGTTCTTGGTGCCTTTCCCGCCAGGGGCAGCCCCCTCCAGTTTGTGAAATCTGTCCAGGGCTGAGTTCACAGCTAAACTTAGCGCCTCCCATTGTTTGCTGGGGCTGTGGAGCTGGGCTAATAACTTCCCGTGATTTTCCTCGGAGGAGCTGGAAAGAGCCACCAGGCAGCCAGGCGCATCCTGTGTTTGTGTTTGTGGGGGTTCAGAAGGGGGGAGTCAGCAGGCAGGAGAGGCCCACCCAGGCCTGAGGAAGGGAGGCCTGGCAGGGGTCCGCTGCCCATTATGCCTCCTGCCCACTGCTCCCCACTGCCTCGTGGCCTCAGGGACGGAAGCAAGGCAGGAGAGAGGCGAACAGGGCATCACCAAGTTAAAGGGCCTGAGGTCGGGCAGAAAGCACCTCATAGCTCACAGCCTCTATAAAGCACAAGAGGCCACTACCTTAGCCCATGCCAGCAGCACCACTCCCAGACCCTTCTGCTTCTGGGGCCTGACATGTAGCCCTTGGGGTGCAGAGTGAGGTGGTTCTGCCTCTTGACAGTTCTGGGATCCTGCAGAGACTCAGATGGAGGCAAGTGTCCCAAGGCTTCACCTGTGACCCACTGTGCCCAGGGCCTTGGTTTCACCCTGGGGACCCATCATCCAGGCACAGAGGGGCTGGGGAGGGCCTGGGAGTGGCTCAGGGAACAAGGCAGTTTCCACCTGTCACCGAAGACAGGCTGGAGCATCACACCTCCCAAGGAGAGGTATGTGCCTGCCCCATAGCACTACAGCCTAGACAAGGGCCCAGAAGGGAGGCCTCCGCCATCGTGGATGCACACTATTTTCTTCTACTCATTAACTTCTTTCTGGGTGTTTTTATTGTAACCAGTCAGTTCTTCCCCAAATAGCAAAATATCTCCACTGCTAAAGCGTATGACCTCCACGTAGCATTTATAGAAAACCTGCTGAGTAAGTGCCTGGTGGGCAAGACCCCACCCTGCAAATGTGAGTGCCCAGTGCTGGCACTCAGACAAGGGGCTGAGTGTCTGGGACCTGCTGGGGTGCCCTCAGGAACTGTCACTGAGCATTGCCCAATGACAGTGAGACTTGAATGAAGGGCCCTGGATGAGGTGGGCCCCTCTTAACCCACCTGCTCCCACTCTTGAGATATCAGCTGGTAGGTTTCCTCATCCCTGGCTAGTTCCTCCCAGAGACCACAACACCTTGAGGACCACATACTCTTCTTTTCTGCTCCCTTATCTGTGGTTTCCCAGGAGAATGCTTGTTGAGCAGTGATGTGTGGAGGGCCTGCTGTGTGCAGCCATGGCCCTGAGGGTGCAGGTCCACCATATAGAGGTTTGGTGATGAGAGCTGAGGCTCAGGGTTTGCTCCTGTGTCCCTTTGGCTAACCCTTTGGGCATAATTAGAACTCTTCCTTTCATCCACACCCATCCTACCCTAGGACCTGGCTACAGCAGGTGCTCACAAGGCAGCTTGCCTCCATCCAGGGACTGCTCCTGATCGCCAGGGGGAGGGGAGCTGGGAGAGGCACTGCAGACACCCAGAGGCTTCGTTGGCCCTTCCCCCCTCCTGTCACCAAGACCCAGGGCACAGGCTGCGACTCAGATCAGCAGTGCCCACTGGGTGGAAATGACCAGTCTATGCCTCCCTTCACCCCTTGAACAAATCTTTGCCATCTCCAGGGAGCAGAGAAGCAGCTCCCTTTGTCCATATCAATGTCTCCTGTGTCGTTGGACACTTGGCGTTGTTATTTTGAATATGCTTTCCATATTAGTTTGAATATTTTGTTCACAAGATCTGGTCATAAAGAAGCTATTGAGGACAGTGCCTGTGGCTCAGTGAATAGGGCCCTGGCCCCATATACTGAGGGTGGCAGGTTTGAACCTGGCCCCGGCCAACTGCAACAACAAAAAATAGCCAGGCATTGTGGCAGGCACCTGTAGTCCCAGCTACTCAGGAGGCTGAGGCAAGAGAATCACCCAAGCCCAAGAGCTGGAGGTTACTTTGAGCTGTGACGTCACAGCACTCTACTGAGGGTGACAAAATGAGACTGTCTCTAAAAAAAAAATAAAAGCTGAGTCTGTCTTTAGTGCTTTTCCTGCAATTTGTCAAGCTACCATGTGGTGGCAGTGGTTCCTCGAGCCTGTGATGTCATGATGTATCTTTTGAACTGAGAATCAGGTCACTGTCTTCATTTTTCAAGATGGAAAAACAAAACAAAACAAAACAAAAACTAAATGTAATTCTGTATTTAACCCAAACTAGTCAATTAGGAGTGCTCGCTGGGTTATGAGCCAAATGGGCATTGCTGGCCCAATCAAAATAAGGGGTTGGGTGGTCAGCATCAGTGGTCTGTGGTGCCCAGGTCCCACCCACAGCAGGCAGCAGAGCTGGTTGTTGAAGGTGAGCTCTAGCTTCCAGGCTAGATGCTAGACCATAGCCAGGGGGTCCAGGGACAGACAAGAGCTGAGCTGGCCATAGAAGGGGAAAGAATCCAGCCCAGTGCCAAGAAGACACTGGGGACCCTGGTTCTGGTGGCCACTGCACACCCACTGGCACACTCAGTCTGAAAGAATACCAGGTACCCATGAGGGTGGATGATGGGGGACAGCTTAGCCCAGTCCTTAACCACTCCCATCTCTTGCACCAACAGATGTCAGCCATAGAAACCATGACGGAGAAGCTGGAGAGCTTCGCAGCTATGAAGGCTGACACGGGCAGCTCCCTGCAGCCTCTCCCCCACCACCCCTTCAACTTCCGGTCTCCACCCCCCACGCTCTCAGATCCCATCCTCCGGAAGGGCAAGGAGCGGTACACCTGCAGGTGCGGCCCCAGGGGCTGGCAGGGTGGCTGGCAGGGGCTCTGGTGCCACGTGGTGACTGTGAACTTGTGCATCCAGGAAAAGTCAGGGCTGGGGCCACACTGGGGCACAGCTACCATCACTGGTCCTTCAGTGGCTTGAGGCTGCCCTCCCCAAATAAGTGATGTGGCATGAGCCTCTGCTTCCCGTTTCCCCTTCCCCCTCCACTCCCTCCAGACTGTGCTCATGTGGGCTCAAGAAAAGGCCACTTGGCCAGGCTCATCTGAATTCAGGATTAAGGCAGAGATGTGCCGGCCAGTATTTAACCTCAGCCCAGGAGGGGACGGGACAGTTTTTATAGATTTCCACAGCGCAGGAGAGACACACTCTGGCCACCTCGCCAGCTGGTGTGGGCCTGTCTGAGCCTTCCAAGCTGGTCCTGCTCACTGTGGGGGTGGGGGCTGGTGGGTCTGCTGCTCTGGCCCCAACAGCTTCTCTATGAAACATGGGGGCCTCTGGAGCTAGAGAGGAGATTGGAAACTGGGTGCTGGGCAGGACCACCAGTGTGCCAGGTAGGAACCACTGACGTGAGAGGGGATATCTAGCCACATACCCTAACCACTACGTCACTTCCCCCTCCCTCTGCTCCAGGTACTGTGGGAAGATCTTCCCCAGGTCAGCAAACCTCACCAGACACCTGAGAACACACACCGGGGAGCAGCCATACAGGTAGGCAACATGGTGCGGGTGAAGGAGCCAGGGTGCCCATGCTGGAGCTCTGCTTACTACCTGCTGGCACGCACACACACCCTCCTGGAGTTCAAGGCCACTGCACCTACAGTGGGCAGGGCCTAGGCTGGTGCTAAGCCCTTGGGCCTGGTCGGTCTATGGACCCTCCCTCCTGGGATGTTGTAAGGATGAGGCAGAGGGGCCCAGAGTCAGGGGTTGACCCAAACCAGGGTCCCGGGAGTCCATATGTGGGAAACTTCAGCCTTACCACACCCAGCCCAATCCTAAGTGCATCATGGTGGACTATTCTGCCCCCAACCCCAGGTAGCCAACCAGGGAGTAGGCAGAAAGGAGCAGGATACTCCTGGCAAACTTGGACTTGGGTGCCCTGGATTCTTTCCAGCATGTGCTCCCGAGATCACCTCAGCCTACTGTTCTGGCCCAGGTCTGTTTTGTCTGTCTCCAGAGCCAGAGACAGGCTGAGGGTGGTGCCCTGACTTGCAGGGGCCCTGCCCAGCCCTCTCAGCCAGAGACTCCCAGGGAGGGGCTGGGAGTTGGCATTTTAAATGAGAGCCCCAGGCGATTATAGCCGTGAGGAGAATGAGGAGATGCTAGTTGCTGTGCCAAGACCAGTTTAGTAACACTCGTGGGGTGTGTCTGGTTAACGGAAGCCACCAGGAGTAAAGAGTTTAGCATGGTTTTCAGTTGACAGCCAAACAGGGCTTCGGGTCACCAGGAAGTGACCACACAATAACACAGACTCCTCCGGTGTGTCCTCCAGGGGCACCTGGGTAGGCTGCAGCCCCAAGCACCACCCTGAGATGGAGCACCTCTGCCCACGGGCCAAGTCCGCCTGGCAGGTAGATAGCACCCCCCATGCACAGGCCTCCCCGACACATGGCCACAGTTGCCCACTCTCCAAAAAATAGTAACTTACGACTTAACAAAGGCTAACAACAGAAAGATTTATGTGATCTGGTCCCCTCCCAGAAAACGAGACGTGTGTTTTCTCTGTAATGAGAGCCGACTTCTGGACAGTGTTGCGTGCTAAGAGCCCCCGGAGGCTCGGGCTGTGTTTATAGAGGAATTTAATTATCATTGATTTCTTTTGCTGTCTCCAATCTGTGAGTTTCGACTTTGGTAACAATAATTGCTTTGCAAGTTTGTGTTGCAAATCCTGACTTGACCTGGCTCGAGGCAGGCTGAGCAGAGGAGTTTGGGCTACCCCTCTCAGCTACACGTGGCTACCCCTTCCATCCTGCCAGTGCTCTCTGGGTTGGTTTTACCTCTGGGTAGAAGCATTTTACTTTGGAAAATGTACGGCTGTCCCCTGCGGTGTGGCAAATACATTTCCCGGGGGAGGACAAACCTCCCACCTGGCCAGGCCCAGCCTGCCAGCCGGCATTGACACTCAGCGTCTCCTGGCCCAGAGGTCTTGGAGAAAGCATCCAGGCCATGTGGGGTTTGGGTTGGAGGGATACAAAATTTGCACAGGGAACAAGGGGGCTGCTTCCCAGCATCCATCCTGCAGCCAGCTCAGAGGTCTCTCCAGATGCTGGCTGGGAGAGCCCCCAGGGGTGGGGCTGGTGATCCCCCCGGGGATGCACCCTGTCTGCAGTGGCGTCTCCTGAATCTCCTCCCAGCCTGCCAGCCTGCCTCTGTGTAGGTGAGGCACAGCTGTTTCCCTTGGGACCACAGGGGCCGGTTCCTGTCCTCTTTCTTTTTTACTTTTACTTTCTTTCTTTTTCTCCCTGCACCCACGATGGCTGGCAGTGGCCCCACTGTATCCCAGGGAGGACTCTGCTGCCCGAGGGCCCAGTGCTCACGTGCCCAGAGCTCTGGGGCCCAGGGCCAGCCGCCTCGCCCTCCCTGGTCCCAGGCAGTAGCCACCAGCTTCCTGGGAGCTCAGCAGACACAGTCTAGCAAGGTTCTCTTGCAGCCCCCCATGGACACCACCTGGCCTGTGCTCTCGTCCCTTCTGGCACTTGGTGGCATTATTTTGTGCAGTGTGGCCATAAATTTCACTGGCCACTTGTCAGCTTAGTTATGGTGCAAATCCCAGCTGTGTGGAGAACTCTGCTCCCTGGAAGCCCTGGGCTCACTGCTCCCCTAAATTTCAGACGGATGTCTCTGTCTGGACTACTTACTTAGATCAGAAGCAGGAGAGGGCCACATTTAGGACACTGACCAGACTGAATACACAGCCCCTCCCAGGACTCCCTGGTCCTTCTCTATTCCCAGCTCCACCTTTGGGTTCCTGTCACTTAGAGGTGGTGCAGGAGCCATTAGGTGGAGTTTGTCAGAGAAACCAGAAAACGAATTCCCTGTGTGTGAGCACAGACAGGGCAGATCTGCCTGAGGTGGCCAGAGGCTGCCAGCTCGACCCGGGGGACAGTACCCAGCCCTGCAGCGTGGCCTCGAATTTGGTCTGGAGATGCAAAAGCAAGTCTGTCCTTTCTGAATGGTCAGCCCAGAATCCTAGCACCATCTACCATCAGGGGTCTGAGAGTTGATGGGGTTTTAGGGTGAGGGACCTGAGACAGTACACTTCAGGTTATGAAACTCTTCCTCTCTGACTGTCAGGTGGGGACACTCAAGCATCTCCCTCACAGCATCTGAGGGCCTGGGCTCTTTTAGCATTCAGGCTGAGAGAACAGGACATCTGGCACCTCCTGGTGTAGGGTCTGTGGGCCATGGGTCCCAGCTGGACCAAGGAAGGAATCTGCCACTCCCCACATGCCCAGCTAAGCCCAGGAGAAGCAGGGCCCACAATGAGGCCATAGCCCAGCCCTGGGCCAGGAGCATAGGTGGCTGAACAGCCTTCCAGAGGAGCCTACATGGCCTACAGAGTCTGCTGAGAATCAAGCATGCCGTCTGCTCTGGGAGAAGCCAGGGAAAGGCCTGGCCTCAGGTAGATGTTCAGGAACTGAATGAATGACCCCCCAGAATGGCATGTGTGGCTCTCAGGAGCCCAGCCTGGCAGAAGGCCCTTGGAAGGAGGGGCCCCTAGCAGGGCTGGCTCCCTATCCTCAGGGGACCCACTATTAAATGCCCTGGATTTCATCAGGCAGCTTGGGGGAACTTCGGGGGCTACTAGGCTGTGAGACCCCTAGGACAGTGTTTCATGAGGCTGTCACCCCTTCGTGTGGGGGACTGCTTGGCCCCTGGGCCTAGGGTCACTCCCTGAAGGGCGTGGGAACTCATGCATCTTCCCCAGGGAGGCCCTAAGGGACAATGACCTGATGGTTGATCAGTGCCCTGGCAGCCTCTGAAATGGCAAATGCCAGCCTGCCCCTCCAAGTGACATCAGGTATCTCCCTGCCCATGTGACAGGACCCCTGACTAGCACACTGCCTTGGAGCAGCCCCCACCTGGAGCCATGTGGATCCCTGCAGTGGGGGGCCCGAGCCTCTCAAGACAGTGCAAAGCTCTGTGCAGCCTGGAAGTCTCCTTCCCACCTCGCCCCTCTGCAGTGCCTGTAGCCCTCCCACCTTCCGGGTCACCACGTGCTGTTGTGAAGGTCACCTCCAGCACAAAGTCCCCACACCTGAGCCATCCTCCTTGGCCATCCACATGGCAGACGTCCTTGATTGTTCACTGTGACAACTTTCTGGCAGTAAAATGCCTTGTTGGGACACAGCCATGATGCTGTGGTGTAAAATATTCACCAGATGCTGGACGCCTCTGGATGTAGGGGCACCTCTAACTTCCCAAGCAGCCCCACCTACCATGGAGGGTATGGTGCTGGTGGTGCGCAAAGGGGTCAGTGCAGCCATTTACATTCAGTGTCCTGGCTGAGGAGCCCCCCACCACCTTCAGGCAGTTAAGAGCCCCTGCAGCCTCCACCCCTACTCAGCAGAGGGGCAACCTGAGTCCTGAGTGAAGCAGGGCCTGCCGGGCCCACCACCTACAGCAGGGATTTTCCACCCATGGATGTGGCACGCTGATGTGCTAGGAAAATTTAACACAAATTATTTTTGAAAGTTCAAAACACAGAAAGTATATTCTTTTTTATCACCTCTTTTTTGATCAACATAATTTAATTGTGCTCTGGAAGTTTAATTATAGTTTCAAGTGTGCCAGGAGATAATAAAGGTCGAAAAGCCCTGCCCTAGAGGACCTAGGAAGGAAGCTGCGGGGGCCCCGCCTCTGCCCCTGCGCCCGAGCCGGCCGCGCGGCCTTCCGTGGTGCAAGGACGCCCTCTTGAGGCTGCCCGGGGCATGTCCCCAACCTCCAGCTGCAGACACGCTGGGCCCAGGGCCTCCCAGGTCCGGGCACTTCACGCCCAGGGCCTTGGGGCACATTCAGGCGCCCTAAGGATTTCGGGGAGGCCAAGCCCCTGCTGCTCTGAGCCTGGCTGACGCTAGGAACGCCTGCCCTGTGACAGTTGGCTAGCTCTCGCAGAGACCTCGGGAACACCCCCGTGGGCACCGTTGGGGGCGGGCAGGGCTGGATCCTCCCGCACCGTCCGTCCGCGGCCCCGGGCCTGCGCTGAGCCGCGCCTGCCTTCCAGGTGCAAGTACTGCGACCGCTCCTTCAGCATCTCCTCCAACCTGCAGCGGCACGTGCGCAACATCCACAACAAGGAGAAGCCCTTCAAGTGCCACCTGTGCAGCCGCTGCTTCGGCCAGCAGACCAACCTGGACCGGCACCTCAAGAAGCACGAGCACGAGAGCGTGCCTGGTGCGCGCCGCGGGGCCGGGGCGCGGGCGGGGCCCTGGGGGCGGGGGCTGCGCTGGCTCAGGGAAGGCCGACAGGCCCCCTCCAGCCACCTTAGTCAGAGAGAACCTCGCGCTGGCGGCTCTCCCTGAGTGCTCCAGGATCTCCGCTGTCCCCTGACCCCGGGCTAGTGTGCCCCATGGAGGGAGGGATTCCGCGGAAGGACGCGCCCTGACGCCCCGCCCTGTCCGCAGTGAGCCAGCACGCTGGGGTCCTCACCAACCACCTGGGGACCAGCGCCTCCTCCCCCACCTCCGAGTCGGACAACCACGCACTTTTAGACGAGAAGGAGGACTCCTATTTCTCCGAGATCAGAAATTTCATCGCCAACAGCGAGATGAACCAAGCATCCACGCGGACAGACAAAAGGTAAGAAAACCGAACCCTTAATAATGTCTGCCCTCAGCACCCCTGCGGGGCCACCGTCGGAGCCCAAACCCATCCACCCCCACAGCACCCCCCAGAGCACCCGCGGCTCTGGGAAGCTGCGGGAGCAGAGAGGGCGACCTCAGTAGGCACCACTGAGCTGCCAGCACAACAGTTAGTAGCTTCAGTGCAAAGAGCAGGCAGGTGAGCGCTCCCCCAGCAGGTGGGGCTGTGCCTCTGAGACTCCAGGATATTTTGGTTTTACTAGTGGTTTACACGGCAGAATGCTGCACCCTTAAACACACACGTGTACACACATGCACGTGTGTACACACACACATGCACATGGGCACACGTGCAAACTCATTTGTGTACATAAGTGCATGCACACATGTTGTGTGTACACGTGCATGTGTGTGCAGATACATGTGCACAGAACAGGAAAATAGCATGATTTGGATCAAGGAGTGCTGACTGGTGTTCTATGCAACCTGGGCTCCCAGAGCCCAGCATGTGTCTGGGGCCCATTCTCTGAAGGACGCCCTGGGAGGAGGTTCTTCTTAGGGAAAAGCTAATACTAGACCAGCTGGCAGAGAACTAGAGGTGCTCCAAATTCCCAGAGGCCTCAGGATGTACCCCTTAGTTCTATAGAGGGGAAACTGAGGTCCACAGAAGCAGGGGTGTCCTCTTCCAGTCCCCAGAACCTGGAGCCAGGGCCCAGGCCCTTACCACACTGGCCATACATGGGCCGCAGCTGTGGGTCCTGCAGGGTCCTCCAGAGACCTGGGGCCCACCCACTCTTCTAGGGCACAGCTGCATCTTCCTTGTCATCAGGTCTTCAGGGAGTGCTGGGGAAGGGGGCACGTGGACTCTGTTTCTGGCTAAGCCAAGTCCTCAGTCCATGACCCTGGGGAGGTGACCTCACCTGGAGGGTCCTTAGCATCTTCATCATCAGAGCCCAGGTGGGACCCCTACCGGCTCCACAGCCCAGAGTGCCCTGGGAGGCCACTGTGTGAGAGTGCTCCATGGCAGGCCTGAGCACACACAAGCTGGACCTTCCCTGAGACCCACAGCTGTGCCCTGAGCAAGGCACGTCCTCACCGTGAAAGATAACCCCTAAACAGTGGTGCCCTGGAGCCCATTGAGAGGCCAGACAGGGACAAAGCATTTGTCAACAGTATCCTCACTGGGATGGATACCAATGTCCTGAGCTACCCAGAGAACAGCAAGGCCTGGGGCTGTCTCCAGCAGGAAGGGTTGGCCGGGCTTCCCAATCAGAGTGAAGAAGGAGCAGGCACCATCCTCACCCTCCTCTTTTCCTGGAGCGTTTCAAGCAGGGCCATCCCCGCAGGGCACAGGGGAGGTTGCTCCAGGCCCTTAGGCAGCCTGTCTGCAGGGAGCCCGGACTCCAGCCGGCCTTGTCCTGAAAGCCAGGGAGCCTTGGGGGGCTCATCATTGTCTAAAGTGAGGCCAAGGGCAAGGGGGACACTGGCAGCCCCACTTGGTCAGCAGGACCTCATTCTCATCCAGAGCCAGTTTCCTTCCCGGGCCTGTCTGTGGGACTTCCAGGCCTATAACCCCATAAGACCCATGTTGAACTGTGTCCTGACCCCCAACACCTCAGAAGGTGACTCTTTGGAGATGAAGACCTTTAAAGAAGTAATTAAATTAAAATGAGCAAAGTGGTCCTCATGTCAGAGGCCTGGGTCCTTATCAAAAAGGGGCATTTGCAGACACACTCAGGGAGGCAGCACGGGCAGAGACCTGGAGGTGCGTCTCCCATCCAGGGAGTGCTGGGGATGGCCAGTAGCACCGGAAGCCAGAAAGGGCTCGGACGGACCCTCCCTTGGCCTCAGAAGGAGGCAGCCCTGCCCACACCTCGGTCTCAGACTTCTGGCCCCTGGAGCTGGGAACAAATCCCTGTGGCTTTAGGCCACCTGGTCTATGGTGCAGCCCCAGCCAGGTGACTGCCCTCTTTAACTGCACCAGTGCCAGCTTGCTGGCCGCACCTGTCCTCACTGGACACTGCCTGTCATGAGCAAATGTGTGTAGGGAAGTGGCAGCAAAGAGAGCAAGAACACGGTCCCTACTCCCAATGGCAGGTGTCATCTGATAACCTGCCCAGGGACACCGGGTGTGACTTTGACACAGCAATGTGGTGACCTTAACCCAAGAGCTGCATGGTGGCTTTCCCACCCACACTGACCCGTGCTCAGGGTTTACTGTGAGGGACATGTTCTTGTGTCATCAAGAGGATGCAGGCCCCATGGGCAAAGGTCACTCTGCCAAGAGCCAGGGTAAGAAACAGCCTGGGTCCCAGAGCTCCAGATGCTCCCCTAGCACAGGTGACTAACCAGCAACAGGGGAAACGTCCCAAGTCCCAAGACTCTGCCCTGGAAGGAGGCACAGGTGTCAGCATCTCTAATTCTCCTGCCCGGAAAGACAAGAAATAAAGGCCTGGTGTGTGGAGACCCAGGGGTCGGGGGGCTCCTGCAGCCTAATCTCAGGCACATGGGGATCCACGCCACAGCCTCACCTTTGGAGGCCAATTGCCCAGAGAGGCTGACCATCTGCTCTAATGGCAAGAACAGGACCCCATGCCTCCAGGGACCACGGTGCCTCCTGGGGTGGCCACGGGCAGTCTGAGCAAAGACGAAGAGATGGCTCCAGGGCTCTGAGTCCAAGCGTCACAGGCCAGGCCTGCTCTCATGCCCCTCTCCCAGCCTTGGGACACCTACCCAGGTGGCCTTTGGCTCCCTGGGGCTCTGCCCCACCCAGGCTCAGCACATGCTCTTGGATGTAAAGATGGGCCAGACTCCAGCAGCACTTTCTGAAGGAAATGAGAGCTCACCCCAATCTCACAGTTGTGCTTTTTTCCCCTTTATTCTTTAATGAGGAACCAGAGTGGAAGTCATGGCTACAGCGACTGAGGGGAGGGATGTGGGTTCTGATCTGGGCTCCAGGAGCACACCAAAAGCTCAGGAGCACACCCGGCCTGGTGATTCTGAGTGTTGGTGGCAGGAGCTTTGAGCCCAGGCTCACTCCCTTGAACACAGGGCCCCCAGCCCCCAGGGCCGATGCCACGTCCTGGAGTTCTCAAGGCTGGCTGAAAAGAATGTGTATGAACCACCACCCCGGGGCGCTTCTCATGTAGTGCCCAACCCTAGTGCCAGTGCAGGCCCACCTTCCTCATGGGCCCAGCCACTGCTTCCTCCCCAACACCCATGGTGACGTGAACCCCCAGAGGCCCTGGCGTCCACTTCGGCATGACAGAGCCCACTGCTCTGTGGCCCTGCCCCTGCTCCCTCAGCATGCTCCTTTCTTCCTGGGATCTTCCATGGCCTCCATTCTCTTACTCCTCAGGGGCAGGGGCTGGGCCCAGGGAGGGACAAGTGTCCCCAGTCTGCAGGCCCCAAGCATTCCGGCCACCAATGCTAAGCTTCCTCCTGTGCCATTTCAGGACGGAGATCCAGGGTCTGGATGGGAGTGCTCAGTGTCCAGGCTTAGCCAGCGAGAAGCCAGAGGATGGGGAGGAGGAGGAGGACGAGCTGGAGGAGGATGATGAGGACAGCCTGGCTGGGAAGTCACAGGACGACACTGTGTCCCCAGCACCCGAGCCTCAGGCTGCCTATGAGGATGAAGAAGACGAGGAGCCGCCCACCTCCCTTTCCGTGGGCTTCGACCACACCCGGAGGTAGGGGCAGCTGTGTGTCAGGACGGGCTGGGGGGTCTGAGCGCTGCCAGGAGACGTCCCTCTTCAGACTTCAGACTGCCCAGAGCAGGAGCCAGCTCAGCTCTTGCCCAGTGGCTATTTTCTACCCTGGGGCCTGTGCACGGGAGGCCGGGCCAGAGCAAGGGTCAGTTCCCTCAGTCCCCACACACTACTGGAAGCTTCTAGAGGCTGAAAGCAGAGTGCAAGGAACAGAGTTTCCCTGTTGAGTGGATGTAGAGGCCCCTAGCACTCAGCACCCCCCATGTAGAACTTGTGCTGGCCAGAGCCATGACCCTTCTTGCTGCCTGCCCACCACCTGCTTTTGGCCCTGGTTGGGAGGGGGGTCTCTTCCTCAACCGCTGAGTCCTGGGAGGGGAGCCGCAGCCCTGCAGAGCTGCCTGGAGGCCCCTTCCCAGCCCTGCAGCCCAGGGCCTGCTGCCTGATGTCTGTGCACGCACTCTCCGTCTCCCTAGCCATGTGCACCTACCTGCTCCCCCACATCCGTGTGGCTTCCCGTCCAGTGTCCGTGTATTTGTGTGTCTGTTTCCTTGTGCATGTGGCTTGCAGAGGTGCCATGGCAAGCATGCAGGCACGGAGCCGGCCATGCGGCCTCAGAGAGGTGGCCAGAGGCCAGGCCTGCTAACGTGGGTCCCTCCCTCTCCCTGGTCATTGGTGCAGGTTTATTGAGGAGCAAGAAGGCGGCCTGTTAGCTTTGGAGCCGATGCCGACTTTTGGGAAGGGGCTGGATCTCCGCAGAGCAGCTGAGGAAGCATTTGAAGTTAAAGATGTGCTTAATTCCACCTTAGATTCTGAGGCTTTAAAACAGTCACTGTGCAGGCAGGCTCAGAACCAGGTAGGTGCCTGCCAGAGCCCTGCCCCCACCCGGCTCCGCCTGGGGACATCCCAGCACTTACCTCCCACTGTGTCCATCCATGCCTGGGGAAGCTCGTGACCACTGCCCCACGCCCAGAGCATGGGCTAGAGAGAGGCCCCAGAGACCAGGCCCTCCCCTAAGCCATGTGCGAAGGGAGGTGATGAGAGGAGACCCCCGTGGCCAAGCTCCTTCAGAGGTGTCCATGGGCTCGTAGGTGTGGGTCCCCTTCTTCTGGGCCCCCTTGGGGAATGTCCACACACAGGCCCCCAGCCCATGAAGCTGCCTCAGCCTCCCACCTGCTCTAATCTGAGCCTGAGTGACTGGCAGCCAGGCTTTCCCAGAGGAGTCTGCCCAGCCAGGGGGTCCCTGCTTCTAAGGCGGAGCTATGACTGAGGTCAGCGCGGGCACAAGGCTTGGCCCCAGGCACTGCTTGGCCCTACTTCCTATGTTAGGTGGCCGCCCTAGGGCACTACTGGGGTCTCATGCAGCTCTCTGCAGCCCTCCCAGGTCCAGGCCCCCTCAGGTCTCAGCAAAAGCCGTCTGCATGTCTGTCTTCGTCTTTTTACTAATTCTGTCCAGAGTGTTACTGTGGATGGGGCGAGCGCTGGCCTCCCTCCCCCACCTTCCTCCCTGCTGACCCACACACTATTTTCCAAGCAGCCCCTGGGTCCCTGCACCTCCTATCCTGGGGCTTGGGCAGAGGATGCCCCGGGGACTGTCTGATGCCTGGAGATGTCTCCGCCTCCCCTAATAATCCAGTCGGTTCTGAGAGGCTACACATCCTTTCCTGGAAGGAACCCCGTAGTGTCACCACGGTGACACAGGTCCCCTGCCCCATCCGGTGGAGACAGACTCTTGCTGACCCGAGAGTCTCAGCAGTAACTGACCGCCCCCCAGCCCAGATTCATGTCCAGGCAATTTTACTGATCACCAGGCAGAGAAAACTGGGGGAGGGAGAGGTGACTGCAGGGGCACACCCCAGAGAGGCTGAGGAGCCCATGGGCAGGAGAGGTCTGGCAGGGCCACAGGGTCTTGGCATCAGTCTGGACAGGAGGCAGTCCTCTCCCTCTTCCAGGCCAGGAGCAGAATCCAGCCTATTTGATGCCCTTGCCCTCCTGATGTGGCTGGGTGTATGTGGGAGGCACTTCGGGGAGGGGGAGGCCAGCCCCGCCTCGCCCCACACTCAGGGTCCCTCCTGTTGTCCTCTCCTCTAGGCATATGCAATGATGCTGTCCCTTTCTGAGGATGCTCCTGTGCACACCTCCGCCCAGGGCTCTCTGGACGCCTGGTTGAGCATCACAGGGGGCAGTTCAGAGCCCAGAGCCTTCAACCCCATGAACCACCTCTGACAGCCGGGAGGCCCTGGGTCAGAGTCCAGAGTGAGGGCATCAGCTCAGAAGACAGATGGCCAGGCCAGCAAGAGCCCCATGCACCCGTCGTGACCACTCCTCAGCCTCCATGCCCCACCCACCGTGGCTCCGTTGCAACCTTTCCAGTGAAAACTCAGACCCCCAGAAGTCCCTAGCATACCATCTCTAAGAATTGGTCTCGAGAACACTGCTCAGCCACGGTCCAGCACAAAGCTGCCCGGGGACCCCTTGGGAGCTGCCTCGTGGAATCTCAACCTGAAACTGAAGCGGAAGGGAACAGATGGACATGGAGAGCCCTAGAGAGAAAGATCTTGCAAATAATTTTTATAATGAAAATGACAAGAATAACCTTTTTGGTAATCTTATTGACTACAGAGTCTATTTAAGCATGTGGTTTTAAAAATAGACAGTATTTTTTAAAAATCAAAAAAAATGACTTGCAAATTGTTTTTTAAAAGTAATTTTGCATTGCTTTGAAATTTCAGCTTATTTGCAAACCCAAGTCTGCCTAGGAACCAGCACCGTGCTTGGGTATGTTCTTTATACTGTAGATAACAGAGAAATTTTCTATCTCTGACCCTATTTGTACAAGCCAAGGTGATGCTGGGTGCCCCCAAGGCAAGACAAGGGGCCTGGGGCCGCTGCAGTGAACAGTGTGCTGACTGAACAGAAATTCTTAGACACAGTGCCCTGGGCTGCCAGCTCGCCTGACGCTGGGACTGGGAGGCATGCCTGTGATATGGAATGCGTGCCAGGGTCCCATGTCACCTCCAGGGCAATCCACAGGCCCCCACTCAAGACCCCCAATTGTATGGGGAAGTCAGGGGCCGTGGCTCTAGCCCCCCATGCAGAGGTGTGGCTGGGCCCCTCATCTTCCTACCCCCCTTGGTCTGTGCCTCCACCATCCTCACTCTGGCCCCACCACCGTTCTTCTGAAGGCAGAACCTTGGCCATGTCCTGGGTCTTCAGCCTCCCACCCTCAGCCAACCGAGCAGCTCCAGTCCTCCCTGTGGCTGCCCAGGGGGACCCCCACAACCAGCTCCACTGCTCCAGGCCACCAAGGTCCACCTGTGCCTGAGACTCCAAACCCCTGATGCCATCACCACTCCTGCTCCCTGGCAAGCTCAGAACAGATGAGCGTCCAGGGTACCTGCTACAGAGAGCGGAGACAGCACAGCCCTGGTGACCCGCACCTCCCCCTTCAGATGTATCTACTTCTCCTCAGATGGGCTTTAAATTATTCCCACAGGGGCCAATTTCAAATAATGATTTTTTTCCCTGATGGAATTTACCTTAATCTGTATATAACTTGTAATTTTTTTCTAATTCATTTCTTTTCTTATTTTATTTCTTCTTTAACAGTATTTTTGGCATTAGACATTTTTATTGTGAAGAAACAATGTTAATATAAGTATCTAGTGAAGGACCAAAACGCGTAATAATGGGGTTGTGTGTCGTGTGATCAATAACCAGGGAGTGGGGCGATGTTTAATGTGCCAAATACCCCCCCATCCCCCCCATGAATCCTGCTGTCACTGCTGCCATTTACCAGACAATCATATGTTTTGTTAAATTTGAGTTTCAGATGAATTTGCATTTAAGACAAGTGTGCTATTTATTTCTTTTATTGTTTGGAAGAAAAAAATAATAGTGTCCCAACGCAAAGAGAAAAAAAATTGCCTAAGTTGACCTTAAAAAAAAGAAAAATAGAGTGTAAGTCCAAACAGGTGTGGGGCAAGCCACTTTCGTGTGGATTCGTGTTGTGCCGTGGACACTTGGCGTTTGTCCCTGGGGCAACAGGAAGTATCCACATGGGCACATTCCATGCCCGTCCCAGCCGCTCCAGGCCAAAGACAATCGTCTCTCTACGCGCCGGGCGGCACAGGCTTGCACACAGATGCACGGCGAGGCGGCTCCTGCAGGCGCTACAAGCCCAGGGCTCTCGTGGGAGGATCCATCCCTCGTCATATCTGCACAAGGTGGCAAGATGGAGAGAGTCCTGTGCGAGCACCAAGGCTGTGTGCAGGCTGGAAAGACACCCGTGGACGGCCGCAGGAGCTTGTGCGGGAAAGGGGTTTTGGCCACATCAATGAGGATTTAGGATTTCCAAACACAACTGCCCAATCAAGAGGACCCGGGACATGCCCTCCGTCACCTCCAGGTATCACATAGACGTTTCCAAGCTCCTCTTTAACCAGACGGGATTCTTGTAAAAATTCAACCTCAGATATAAACAGCCTGTTTCTGTAAACCCAGATGATATGATTTTTTTCTTTGAAAGAATAAGGTGTGTGCTGGGGGGGGTGGGGCTGGGGGGGGCTATGGTTCTCTTTCTGAAAGGCAAGCCCGGCTGGCTAGAACCCTCGGAGCACCTCAGAGCAGATAAGGGCCACTCTTTCCACCGCGCCTTTCTGTCATTTCTGGCTGATCATCTAAACATCGTCTCTTCTCTCACCATTCTTTTCTTCCACCTTTCCCAGAATACCGGTTGCAGACTTCAAGTCTTTTTGTGCCCCTGAGAATGATAACCGTGAGCCCAGACTCTGCACAGCCGCACCTCAGGCCCCAGCACGTGGCATTTTCAGGGGCTCCGTCCTTACCTTATGCTGCTGCAGCACACTCAGCATCACCCCAGACCCTGATAATCCCTGAACTCCTGGCCTTGCCTTTGCCTCTGAGATCCAGCACCACAGCTGTCTCAGGCAGAACGCTGAGGGCGAGGGGGCCTGGGCCAGCAGCAGGAGCCTGAAGTCCTGGCTCCAGACCCCCAAGCTGAAACAGGAGGCCACGCTGCCATACAGCACAGAGACAGGGGACTGGGTCTGTGGCCAGGCGGTCAGCATTGTGGCTGAGAGTCAGGGGGGTCCCACTGGGCCAGGTTTGCCTAGGGCCAGGGTCCCTTGGTCCAGCCTCAGCAGCTGCCCTGATGTTAACTCCTTTGGGCTTTTGCCACTCATTTCTGGGATGGAAATTCAGAAAGAGGCCGCCTCTCACCTCCCTCTGCTGTCCCAGACCCCTGACCCTGCCCCAGCCCCACCAAGCTAACACCCTGTGCTCATTCCCAGGACGTCTGGGCAGCATTAGACACATGGGGGTGTCCATCCTGTGGGCTGGGCACACCCTCCATGGATGGGACCCAGAATGTCCTTGACTCAAACCCTGCATTCTGCTTGGGGCCCCAGATGTGTAGCAGTGGACAGAGAGTGGGCTCGGGCACGGCCTGAGAGACTGTGCAGCCCGAGGGGCCTTGCTTTACATGGCCACAAGTGGAGCCTTCCAGACCCTCACTGGCCCAACACTCTGTGTACCCACAGTCCGTCCTGGAAAACTTGGAGGGCCCTGGCTTCCTCTGCCTTACCTGCTCCCCAAGTGAGCGTTCGCAAAGCACTTGCCTAGATACATATCACATGTTTTAGACTCGAAGCCTCAAAGCACTGGATTGTGTCCTTCCCGTTTCCCCGTCCCCTGGCCCAAGGGACTGAGACCTACTGAGCTGTATTCACTGTGCTGTCCCAGGGGAGGGGCGGGACAGCTGCCCTACACTGTGGCCTGGGGGCTGGGGGGCTGGAGACAGCACTCCTCCCAGCCAGGGACGTCAGGACACAGCGGCTCCTGGTCAGTGGAGGTCAGCCGGGCGTCAAAAGCCATGAAACTGTGTCTCTGTAGCGATGAATGATACTGTGACGAAGACATTCTTGCATTCTTCTGAGAAGAGTTCCTTTTCTCCTTCCATTCCATTTTTTTTTTGTTTTGTTCTTTTCTGTCACTGATTCATATTACCACTTTTGGGGAAAAAAAAATTAAATAAATAAAAGGCAGCTTGAGTTTCCAAACGTGCAATTCACTTGTGAACAAAAGTGATTCTAACGGTCTCCTTCAGCTGTAGCCTGCATTGTCGAAGTTCTCTTCAACACAAGGGAAGTCGAGCCCTGGTGTGAGAATATGTAATTTAAAGTGTGTGTGTGTATGTGTGTGTGTGTGTGTGTATATATACTTTGTAACTTAAAGTATATATATATATATATATATATATAATGCTTGCAAGAGTCTCATGCCATCTTTCACCATTGTTACATCACAGATTTGGTTCAGTTTTGTTCTTCTGTTGTTTTCTGTTTTGTTTTGTTTTAGGACTGTATAGTATTGAAAAAGAAATCAACTGTAAATGTCCAGTTTTCATAGGATGTTTAAAAAGACCATTGAGAAGGAGGCTGGTGCTTGTCCCACGTCCCCCTTGGTTGTAAATGGCTTCTGTTATGTTCATAAGTAAACTGTGCATGGCTTGTGTTTAGCGGTCATTATCGTGTCTGTTCGTGAAATTTTTATTAAAAGGAAAATTCCGTAGATGCACTTATTGAGTATGTGATTAGGGCCGGCATTCACGACTAGGAGTCCTGGACCGCCGGCGTGGAGGAGGCGCGGACCCCGCTGCGCGCGGCCCTCTCGGTGGGAGAAGGATGAGCCCGGAGGACAGTGAGCGAGGGAGACAGGAAAGAGCAGTTTTGCAAATATCATTCTGATGCTTGTGATAAAGACAAATGTACTTGTGTAGAGAAATTTCTTTAAAATACAGCCTAGGAGAAGCTGATTTTGAGGTTAATGCTGTAGAATAGGGCTGTACCAAATGTAATCTTTCCAATGCTACAATGAATTTATACATGAGATTGATATGCAATAAATCTGTGTGCTTTTCTAAGCTTTGGTGCCTGCAAATTCCTTGAGGGGAGGGCCCTGGGCAGGAGGGAGGGACAAGTGGGGGGGATTTGACTGCAGGAGGCCCAAAGGTGAGGCTCCAGTGCACATGAAGCCACCCTCCCTGCCCCATGGCCAGGCAGGTACCCTGGATATTCCTGTTTTCTAAAAAAGAACAAACTCAGAGAGGGCACCAGCTATCCTGGACGCCATGCAGTGAGCGGTGACCTCTGGGAGGGACCACCCTCAGGCGTGGCAGCCCCCAGCTGTGCCCATCCGGGGACACA